ATAGAATTTGTATTGCTTTAATTAAGTTATCTTTATGAAAAATCGGATGTGAGAGTAAAATAGCTCTGTCAACAACACCCGAAATGACTGCTAACTTTTGTTTGAAAGGATGGTGTGAGGAGAAATTAAGGTAGCGACCCGAAAAGGACGGTTTTTGATACCAATTAAAGATAATTTTATTATCAATAACTTTAATCGAAGTGTCTAAAAAATTTATGGATCTATTTTCTTCAATTTCAATAGTAAATTTAAGACGAGGATGGTAAGAATTAAATATTTGGAGAACTATATCAATACTCTCCTTTGGAGCCGACAAGAGAATATCGTCTACATATCTGTAATAAATAGGCAGAGTTATATCCAATCTTTCCAAACAACAATCTTCAAGATTCTGTAAAACAATATCAGCCATGATTGGAGAAAGAGGGGATCCCATAGGAGTACCAAAGGTTTGTTGAAAAATGGTCCCGTTAAATGTAAAGTAGGTTGAAGACAGAACAAACTCTAATGCTCGAATAAAAGAATCAAGGGGTATTTTTGTATGGTCCTTAATGAAATCCCATCTCTTTCTCACTCCACTCAAGGCCAAATCCAACGGTACATTGGTGAACAATGAGACGACATCAAGCGATAAAAGTACATTATTTTCATCAATAGGTGAGCCCGACAAACTCTCGACTAGTTCAAAACTGTTGTTAACAAAACTGCGTGGTTTTGGTAAACTTCTGTGTAAGATATCGTGCAAAAAGGAAGCAAATTTATAAAGAGTGGTATTAATACATGAAACAATTATTCTNAATGGAATGTTCGGCTTATGAATCTTTGGAAGACCGTAGGCTCTAGGCAAAGGCTTATCGTTACTTAGTAGAGAGTAATATTCTTTAGCATCAATGTAGTTCGCGGTACGCCATGCTTTCAAACATTCATTAAGCTTGTTTTCGATGTTCTTCGCCGGGTTCTTCTTAACAACTCTGGTGTACGTGTCTGTATCGTTAAGCATGAGTTCTATTTTTTCTATATAAACATTTTTATCTAACGCAACGGTGACATTTCCTTTATCTGCTTTAGTAAAAATTATAGATGGATGGTTTTTGATAAATTCATTAACGTGATTTGCTTTCTTAATTAGAACTTTTTCTAAATTATTTAAATGAGGATCTTTATTAATAAAACGATCCAATGAAGAAGCAGTGAGCAATCTTAATCGAGATTTTGTTTCATGATCGAGATTTCTGAGATTGTTCTCGACATCTTTAATAATTTCAAAAGACATCTGCTTCTTTAAACGTTGTGGAGGTAAACTAAATTTCTCTCCCAGCGAAAGCAAATCACAAACTACTTCAGGGATGTCGGTAGAGGTGAGGTTGAAAAACCATTTTTTCTTTGTGTCATTTATATTCAAATTTTCTTTAACTGATAGTGTATCAATAGTGATGTTGTTAATTAATGATTTTTCAACTGATTTAGGCTTATCAAATGAGTAATAGAATTTAGAACGATAGTCCATGTCACCGTTATTCAAACTTGTTACAAAATAAGAAATTTTTTTGTCAGAACAAAATTTAGACTCAGAGTCTTTCCTTAATAACCAATTGATTTTCTTAAATATTCTCTCAAATTCTTGAGTTTTCATTTTACACAAAGAAAAACTCTGGGTGTTAAAAAATTTGTTCCAGCAATAAGGAGGTAATTCCGAGGAAAGATAATTAGTAATCATAAACAGTTTTCGGCGCAGCATTGACAAACTATAATAAGCGTCGCGAATTTCGAAATTAATAATCCTACGTGCAAAAATTTTTCCTGAGAAAGCCAATCTTCGCGCGAGATTCGGGTTAGAAAAATTAATNTAAGAATATATTTAGTATTGAGTTTACAGCATTAAACCGAACGTGTCGCAATCTCTTCCTTCCCCTCACCCGAATCCTGGTCTGACCGAGCTGTCCGGCAGGCGGAAGGCCGGGCAAGCCGCGCGTAACACGGCGGCTCCGTTACAACAGGTTTTATAGAAAAAGAATTGTTTATAGTATTAAATCAATTTTTATTCTATCAATTTAAAAATACAATACGTGTTGTGCGTGTACTTGGCGCCTGTTCTTACCTTTTTTTTGAAAAGGTAAGTTTTTTTAGATATTACACATACTTTAACTTTATGAAGTAAAACATTACAAATTAAGAAATTACAAATTGATTTAATACTACAAAACCTTTTTTTTTATAAGACTTGTTTTACAAAATTAAATAATACTACAAAATACAAAATGTGTAATAACTCGAAAAACTTGCCTTTTCAAAAATGGTAAGAACAGGCGCCAAGTACACGCACAACACGTATTGTAATTATCTATCCAAAAATTTGTTTTACAAAAGAAGTGATATCACAAAATAGCACCAAGTAAATNTTGTACGTTACTTTTGTACATTATTATCTTAATCTAAAAACATAATTATGTAGAGGGGACCGGGGCTAGTTGTGACACGAGGTTAGTTGTCAAACTGTGCTATTATCTTGCTTACAAAATTGTGAAAAATGTTCTTCTTTATATTGTAAGTTGCTACTATTGTTTTAGTAACGTGTACGAAACAGCTTTCCTTAAAAACATGATATATGATATTTATGAGCACTTTTGTAAAACTGGACGTGCAAGTAGAGGTTTTTGATCTCAATTATTTAGTAATTTCATTGATTTTACAATTTCTCATTGCAATTTTATCTTAGGTATAAGAAAAGTGGTAGTTTTAAATAAGTTTTCCTATATTTATTTAATCGTCATCGCATTGCAGTTTATAAATATAATATCTTTTTTTTTAAATGAACGTTTAGGGTTAGTTGTCACGTGAGTATGCGTGGAAGTAATCGCGTAAGATGCGTCGCGCTATATAACTTTAACAAAAACTTTGTCAATGCGACAGGCTGCATTGTTATTTAAAGTGAACTGAAGATCGTGCGTTAGTTCGGTATTGTAAGAAAATTTCAGAAAAGGACATATGTGAAAATACTATTTGTACAAGTGTGAATTATGCTAAACCAAAAAAGATTTTTATTAGTGATTTACAAGAAGAAGAATTAGTTAATTATATATTACGTGTTTCAGATATTAACTTTGATCTTACACCCAAGAAAATCAGAATTTTGGTTTATGTGACAATCCTGGATACGGTGCACGCTGACAAATTTGCACGATCGTGTTTACCATTAAATAACTTTGTTTGTATAAAGATATATGAAAATAATATTTTTTTCTTAAAGCTACAGGATGTGACTATTATGTAATATACTCAATATTACATAATATGGTGTACAGTTTGTTATTTTTAATAATATAATTAGCATGTCACAATGTGCCCCGGTCTCTCCTACTTTGATAAGTTTTCATCACGGACAAAATCTTGAGAGAAAGAATTTTTCCTATTAAAGTTTTGTTACATTAACAAAACGATTTGTTAAAACTAACAAGTAGACTCAGAAAATCTTTATTTTCCGTAAAAAACAAAAAAAAAGAAAAAGTTTTTTCAAACACAAAAGATATTTAATGCGAAAAAACTTGGCGCGGCTGCACCAAAAATAAATCTACAGACAGACATGTCTTACGTGTGCGTGCTAGCTCTTTTATACAATTATTTTTCAATTATATTTCACATACGTATTTTCGAATATCAAAACTTTCATATGTATATTCGAATAATTAATTTCGAGAATTACAAACTGTACTTTCAAATTAGTGCATTTGTAGATTGAAAATATAACATTTGTAGTGTAAATAAAAAATTGTTGAAAACAAAAACTACTGAGTAGTTACTACATCAGAGTTTCAGACATATAAAACTTTCAGTTTATTATATTTAAGGTGCAGCCGCGCCAAGTTTTCTTGCATTAAATATTCTTTTTTTTTTAAAAAAACCTTTTTTTTTTGTTTTTTACAAAAAATAAAGTTTTTTTGTGTCTACTTGTTAGTTTTAACAAATCGTTTTGTTAATGTAACAAAACTTTAATAGGCCCAGAAAATTCTTTCTCTCAAAATTGTTTCCATGATGAAAACTTATCAAAGTACATAGTTATGTTGTTAGATTAAGATAATAATGTACGAAAGTAACNTACAAAATTTACTTGGTGCTACTTTGTAATATTACTTCTTTTATAAACCTGGTTTTTTCAGAAAGAATGTTTTGTAGTATATAAATTTTATAAAACAGGTTTTGTAGAAAAATAAGTTTTTGGAGTATAAATAACAAAGTATGTAGTTATGTACTTAGATTAGAATAATAATGTACAAAAGTAATGTACAAGATTTACTTGGTGCTATTTTATCACTTCTTTTGTAAAACAAGTGTTTAGATAGATAAATACAATATGTGTTGTACGTGTATTTGGTGCCTCTTCTTATCTTTGTTTGAAAAGATAAGTTTTTCGAGTATCACACACTTTGTATTTTGTTTATTGTAGTTTGTTTATTAAAGTTTTTTATTTTCTTTAATTATTTTCTCTAAGAAAAGAATATAAACATTTGTATTGTTTGTATATTAAATATGGTATAATAATGTACAAAAGTAACGTACAAACTTTACTTGGTGCTTCTTCGTGATATCAATTCTTTTGTAAAATAGGTTTTTAGAAAAAGAATGTTTTGTAGTATACATTATTATTTTTATAGTAAACTAAAAAATTTAACGTATACATAAGTTTACTTGGTTATATATACGTGCGTATGAGATAGGTGATGCACTATTTTTTCATTTTTTTGTTTCAAATTTTTAAACTTTTCCAGTATTTCTTTATTTTGTTTTTGTCTTTTCTTAACAATAGTAACACATTTATTTATTTATCTTTTTCAAGAAAAGAATACAAACATTTGTAGCATTTTTTGGCCAGTGGTGTTTTCTAATTTGCATATCAATTCTAAGCCAGCTAGATTTTCCTTCTTTACACATACTTGTATAATGATTGTTTTCACTACACAGTCCATCATTAAATATGGCATTCATTACTTTATATAGCTGTCCACTTATTGACACTTTAGTCGTTAGTACAGCACGTATATTTAGTTGTTTTTTCTGGTATTATTTTATCATCTTCTGGAAATAATAGAAAATGAATGATAAGTATTTCTTTTGTCAACGTTAATTCTGTTTGAAATATTTTATCAGTCTTTTTATTGGGACATTGAATAAGTTCTCGCTGTTTCTCAACAGATGGCGTTACCAGAACTGCGTGCGTATAGTTTAACGCATCTATAAGGAAGTACCATAGGCAAGCTTGAAATACAGTGTATGTCATTTTGCCAAAGTGTAAACAACTTTTTTTTCATAGTGTTAAACATGTCGAGTTTTGTGCCAAAAAAAAAGAATATTTGCGGAAAATTTTATTGCACTATTTTATTCAAAAAAAAATCTGCAGCTGAAGCACACAGAATTCTTGTTGAGACTTACGGCGACCTTGCTCTGTCGGAAACAACATGCAGAGATTGGTTTAGACGCTTCAAAAATATTGATTTTGATGTTGAAGATTAAGAACGCTTTGGCGCACCAAAAAAGTTTGAAGACGAAGAATTGGAGGCATTACTTCATGAAGACTCATGTCAGTTCAGACGCTAACTGAACTTGCAGAATCATTAGGAGTAGATAACACAACAGTTTTGAAACGTTTGAAAGTATTAGGAATGATTCAAAAGCAAGGACATTGGGCGCCGTACGAGTTGAAGCCGAGAGACATCAAACGGCGTCTTTTCACGTGTAAACAGCTACTTCAACGGCAGAAAATAAAAGAAAATAAAAGAAAAATTTTTTGCATCGTATCGTGACTGGCGATGAAAAGTGGATACACTACGATAACGCTAAGCGTAGAAGATCGTGGGGTAAGGCCATGCATCAACATCGTCGGCAAAGCCGAATATCCATGGTTCGAAGCTTCTGCTCTGCGTTTGGTGGGATCAGCTGGGGGTAGTTTATTATGAACTGCTCAAACCAAACAAAACCATCACGGGAGATCGTTATCGACTACAATTGATGCGTTTGAGCCGAGCATTGAAAGAAAAACGACCGCTATACGAGCAGAGACACGACAAAGTGATTTTGCAACATGACAACGCTCGGCCACATGTTGCACAACCGGTGAAAACTTACTTGGAAACGCTTAAATAGGAAGTCCTATTCCACTCGCTGTATTCACCAGACATTGCCCCTTCCGATTATCACTTGTTCCGATCGATGGCACATGACCTGGGCTAAGCAGCACTTCCATTCTTATAAAGATGCCAAAAAATGGATCGATTCTTGGATAGCCTCAAAAGACGTGTCGTTTTTCCGACGTGGAATTCAATACTTTGAGTGACATGTTTGTTACGACTATTTTTAAATAAAGCACTAATTTTCACGAAAATCAGCGAGAACTTATTCAAGGTCCTAATATATTATATTATATTATTATTTAAAATTCGTATTAGTACAGTAAAGCGCCGTCTGCTGTACAAGGCATAAAGTTTTTTCTTTTCCTTACTATTATGTATTCTTACT